AGATCGGGTGCGGAAGTGGACGTCTGGCGTGCTACTTGCAGATGGCCACCTCAAGGTCAGTGAATGTGCGTTTAACGCTTACTTAGGTCTTGAAATTGGGATGAGCATCTGCCCTATGAATGAAATAGCAGAATTTAGGTCTGATCGTCGCTTTCTTGGACAGCCCGCTTTTATTGAGACGATGTCAAGAAACCGATTTCAACAAACTCGTGGCGCACTTACGTTTCATCCCCCTACAGTACCTGGATTCGACAAAGAGCGAGATCCTCTATGGAGATGCCGCAATATGATGGATCACTTTCAAAAGCGGTTTGCTGAATTTGCAGTGCCAGTTGGAGTTAGTAGTCTCGACGAAATGACCGTGCGAACAAAGGCACGAACTCGAGCAAAGTCATTTTTGCCATCGAAGCCGACAAATACGGCGTTCGGTTTTATGCTGTCGTCGGTTGGAGTTCGTTATACGTGCATTCGGTTTGGGATAATTCGTCGGGTAACCGCATGCCATCTACTCCTGCCGAACGCTATACTAACTTGTTCCCAACACTGCGTACTCCGCTACGGAATACACTAAATGCTGAAGATGTATCGATCGAGGCTGACTTAGCTACAGCAATGTGGGTTGCGATGGCGGGGCACCAAAGTCAAGCGTTGCGATCACCAATAGGACGTCGACTTATCGTTTTCGATAATGTCTACACTCGTCACACATTTGCCCACGCTTTGCAAAAGTTCACCGACGGGGAAACGCATTTGCTGGGAACTGTTCGGATCAACTTGGTCGATAAGTCGAATAAGCCAGCCGTTGCAGCTGCTGTCCAACGAGTCAATAAAGGAGCACGAGGTGGTTGGGAGTTAGTTGCCGCAGTAGATCCTGAGCCGGGGTGGGAAGAAAAGCAAAAAGCGCACCTGAAAGCCCAGCGCCGCATAGCGAAGGAGAAGCGAACGGCGTACGTGGTGAATCTCGTTCGAGCGGAGAAAGCCGGCTAGATTATATTCAAGGATCGAAAGGTTGTCATTTTTTACAGCAACGACTTGAAAGCAGCACAACCCTAAATGCTTCCTATCCTGAAGCAGTCTTCTGCTGTCATGGCACGTATCCAATTCAGCGCTGGACAGAAGATCGAATGCTACACCGCCAAAACTTCATGGCACCTACACTTGTTGCCGCGTATAATCTGTGCATGAGTGCAGTTGATCGGGTTGATCAATTGCGCAGTACAAACCCAACTCGGCGGCGAGAAAAACGCCTATCGATGAGCGTGTTCACGTGGATGATGGATATTGCTATATTGAATGCGTACGCTTTGATTAAGACAACTAGACCATCAGCTGCAGAAGGATTATCGACTCGGGAATTCAAGCGTCGAATTGCCGTAATTCTTACTAGTAATGAGAAGCAGAACAAGCGAAGACGTGAGGTGGAGGCGAAAAGCGAGCCACCGGACACTTGAAGAGGTTGTCGGCATGGATACCTCCCTGCACATGATAGCTCCCAACTCAACTGAGCACAGCAGTGGAAAACTGGTCTGTAGCCTGCGAAACATAAAAAGAAGGCTCGATACGGGTGCACACAGTGCAAGGTAGGCTTTCACGTGGAGTGTTTTACTGCTTTCCACAACCGCGACGTTTTAAAGCACTCACCTCAACTCCGAGAAATACTAGAGGCACTTTGTAAAGTATCTATAGATGATTCTGTGGTCTTCACACGAAAGAAGAACAACAAAACAATTACGCCAGTTGAGAGACTAAAGCTTCCTGAACCATAACACAATGCACACTTTTCGTACCTGCTTTGGCGAGTCTGGCCAATACTCCTCCAGCTTCTTGGTCACACAATGAGGCACCGGTCCGCGGAAATTTCCTTGCATTTTGTAGAGATAGAGTCTACTCAGTGTCCGCCAGAGAACTCGGTTGCGATGCTTGCACCGTCTCAGCTTCTGTTGTAATCTCCCTGCAGCTAGCCAGAGTTCTTGTTCGAAGAGCTGCCATCCACAAGGTGCTGTGCCGCACCAGCAGCACACGTCTTCCGGTACGGGCTTCATCGGACCCTTCGTAGCACGTACCACACTCGAAAATGCGAGGAAAGAAAAATGTAGAGGGTGTGACGCGTTAAGCTCTGGGCTGTGATTGGCTCGGGCTGCCTTCAAAATTTAAAATCAGGCGAAACGATTGGATATCGTAGAGGTCCTGTTGGCCCGCAAGAAAATACTAGGAGTTAAAGGGTTAAAACCCTTGCTCGTTGTGATCATGTTCCAGGCGCCACGGTCGAAGATCCAGCGATGCGTGAGGCCGTCACACCCATTGCCGTGCTGTGCTCCGCCCCGGCGAAACGAGTGGGAAGAGAGAGTCACTTCAACGCCAGCGATTGCAGCGGTCCTGTCAAGCACTCGATTGACGTGCGAGTAGATGGTCGGTGTCTTTTCAGCAGCAGCACTTGACGACGCGGCGCTAGCCGCAGCTCCAAGTGCAGCATACTCGTCAGGGTAGTCAAGCACCTCCAGAAGCGGCGTGGCTGGAAACAAGATAACGGCAGATTGGACAGGCAGCGTTGCCACGTTGTCAAGCAGATCAACGCGTGGAGACCCCTGCGTCACGAGCGCCAGCGCGATGGCGTACACCGGGCAAGTCACGAAGTCGAGATCAGGAACGGGCGAGAGACCTTACTCCTCGGACGTCTTGGGCCGGATGAAGCGCACAAAGAGGATGCTGGCGGTGTCGATGGTGATGTTCTGCTTCTGCACAAACGACAAGTCGGACGCGCGTCCGAACAAGTACCGCAACAAACACAGTAGCGCTGCGTCTTGATAATCGCTTGAAGTATATGCATTCTTAAGCAAATAAAGCATCAACTTACGTAAATCGTTTCAAGAGCAAGGTGGCGTCTTACTTACGACCTTGTCATCACTTTTCGGACAAAAGTTGTATAGCGTCTTCCCCATACTAAGCAACTTTGCTTCGACAATGTGTCGATGTGTAGGGAAGAGCTCTAAAAGTCACCTTTTGTCTGCCTATAGTACTGCATGGCTGTATTACGGACAAGTTGTTTGCCCTTCATTAAAGGCAAGATAAAAACCAAACATATCTTAGATAGACACAATGCACTTCCCACTATCGTCTTTCTCAATACAGCTCCTATCATATTCAAAATCTACAGACTCAGTCTTAACAAAAGCCTTGAACGCCGCAATGGCGGTTGCTTTTGCGCGTTTTGTGTTTCCAGCCTTGAGCTCTTCTAGTCCCATCCTTGTCGGATGTTTTGCAAATATACAAGTGATACGTTCATCACTTAATTTAGGAATAGATGGCCCACCCCCCTTTAGGCTCAGTCTTATATCGTCCCAAAAGAGGGATGGACCAATCAGCGATCTAGTTTGCATGATATTGGGATGACCTGTAAGGTTGACACCACTTCTCGTCCCACTGGGACGTTGTGTGGCACGGTTTTGGGATACCTAAATCCTGCTCATCTCAAGTCCAATCGTCTATTCCGCAGTTGACAGCAGCAGCACACACCGCCGACACGAGCCACCTTTCCGCAACCGCCGCCATGGCGACGACAGAACCCGTCACCACCATCGTCAAGCGGATTGGAGAACCGCTACATGGGGACAACGACGAGGAAATTAGTTCTATCTTGACGGGATTCACAGCGAAAGAGCTGCGCAGTGCTTGCAGAATCTACCACGTGAAAGTTCGCTCCAAGACTTCTAACCTCGACAACAAAGTCGGCTACGAAAACGTACTTGTAGAGCTAGCTAGATCCCGGCGAGAGTCTACTGTGGTTGCAGCTGCTGTGACTCTCGTGCTTATACCAGCAAGTCGCCTAATATCATGCACGAAACCTCCTGCTAAAAAGCGTAGCGTCAATTGCAAGGAATTATCAGCGGCGAATAACCCCCGTCTCACCGATGCATGCAGCGAAATTAATAGCTCTGGCGCAATAATTTGCTCTAGCCCCTTGAACGCAATAGCAGACATCCGATAACACGCTTGAAACTGAATCTCGGCAAGTAGCAGATTAAGCTCGCGATCCCACTTGATCTTCGCACGCACTGTCTGGGGTGCTCGTAAGGGTCTAGGTAGTACAGACGAAAGCAGCAAAGTTAGGCATATCGTGTCTTCACGCGATGGCATTGCGCCGCTGTTCCAGTCGATGTTCTTATATAATATATGTTGGTCACACCATAAAACATTCCTTCTTGCCTATAACACCGGGTTGGAAGTCCTGCGGATTCTCGCATCCCAGCCTAAGTAAATATAACGGTTAAAATTAGGTAATTGTGCTATTGTGATTGGTCCAAATTAATGTAAATGCTGTAATAGGCTACTTTAGGCGCATACAACACTTAAGTAAGGTCGGATAAGTGATGATATTCATTCATGTCTTCTTCACCTTATCGCTACCCAGATTTGCTGCAAAGATAAAGTGAAGATAACACATTTATAGATATCGCACTTTTTCGCTGCATTATCTCTTCAGTAAAATTATAAATCTGGTGACGAATGGCCAGCTACATTTGTTAGGAATGCACTGTTCGTCTTGACGAACTGGCCAACAATTACCGACGATCCCCACGCTGTCATAACTGCTGTGGTAAACAGTGTGGTATACGGGCGTCAAATGAAATGACAAGATACTTCGAAGAAAGTACAGTGTGAGTCTGTATCGGGGATAGACACGAGATAGCAATTTCAGCCTAAATAAATAATGGCATTTGATAATGGACGAGAATAAATAATGACATGCTCTGGGCAGTCATCAATACATTTATTTATGATATTTACAGTATGATCATTATTGTTATGGCCATGCTAAAATCGGCGGCCCTACTTATTCCTAACGGCCAAAAAGATTCACAATAGCGGCTTCATGAATGCGTTTTGAAAAAGTATCTTCGATACGAGACCTCCAAAATCAGCCTTAGCTCTGGGCCTCAATTTTGCACACTAACAGTAAGCAAAAGGTTCGATATATTGTTTGTCTAAAAGTGATAGTAACATCACTCAGATTCCGTGAGCTTTTGGCCATTCTTATCATCGTTCGCGGCTGCGGCAGCCTCTTCTTGCGTCTCCTTGCGAAGTTCGTCCATTCGAGCAACTATACGACGCTCGACTTCCTCTTCCGAAATCTTCGCACTAGCCGGCAACAAGGACGGGAATACCAACTCGCGTGGGGGGCCCTGACTTTCCACCAGCACTGCTGTCGTTGGATGATACACGGCAGGAGCTTCACCATACTTGGCTTCATAGCGCTGCACGCCCTTGGACAGACGCCACCTGTGGAACTCTTCACGGCCAAAAATTACTGCAGCGCCTACTGCTGCACCAGCAGCAGCACCCTGAAGACCTCGAAGCCGACCACCTGAACGGTGTCCAGTCACACAGCAACAGACCAGTCACGCCAAGCCTCGCAATGGAGCAATAAAGTACATCATTCTAGCTCAAAGACTCACCGACCAAACCAGCGTAGAATCCGCCAGTAATTGTACCAGCTCCGGCACCTGTGATCCAATCTCTTTTGTCACCTCTCTTGTCCGCAATTACCTCCTCAAACGCTGCGTAAAACGCGGTCATTAGCACAAGATACTCATCCATCTGCCGGCATCTTTTTATCACCAATATATGTTGAAGACAGCAAGAAAAAGTTGGATCCCATGGATGCGGCGTAGAAATTTATGCTCTCATTGCGTAAAGCAGCCAGCACCGCTCCAATGGTGGCTCCAGTGGCGCCGGCCATACTGGCACCCACCAGCATGTGCTTGACGGCTCCCTTGGCCTTATCTGCTCGTACAAGCACCTCACAAAATGTAAGCCTCTACACCTCTTCTGCGTTAGAAAGTAGTGACTGTCGCTCTCACCCAGCGTCTCCTGCACCTCCGGACTGCGCTCGAACATGTTGCCAGCACCCCACCCTTCGTGCGTCAAATAGCTCGTCGCAACTGTAACTGGTGTGTCATTATTGTGGCACAGATTTCCTTTCTTCCATTGGCTAAAACTCCGTGGCTTACAAATGCCAAATCTAAAATATTGACACTTTCCTACGTCCAGTCAATTGCCAAGGTCGCACGCCGCATTACAAAAGCGACCCAACCACTTGCGAACTAGCATTCCCCCCAAGACTCCAGCAAGATGCCCCGTCAGCTTTTGGCCACCCGCTTCGTTACCATCCCCGATGATGTCAAGGTCGTCCTTGACGGCCGCAAGGTCACCGTGTCCGGCAAGCGTGGCACGCTGAACCGCGACTTCCGTCACCTGACGCTCGACATGCGTCGTGTCAACAAGGAGCAGCTCCGCGTGGACCTGTGGTTCGGCAACCGTAAGCAGCTTGCCTGCGTGCGCACCGTCTGCTCGCTGATCGAGAACATGATCACGGGTGTGCGTGTCGGCTACCTGTACAAGATGCGTTTCGTGTACGCTCACTTCCCCATCAACGTGACGTTCGAGAACAACGTTGTGGAGATCCGTAACTTCCTGGGTGAGAAGCGCGTGCGTCGCGTTGCTCTGTCCGAGGGCGTCTCGTACGTGCGTACGGGCGACGTTAAGGACCAGATTGAGCTGAGCGGCATTGACCTCCAGAAGGTGTCGCAGGACGCTGCCAACATCACGCAGGCCTGTCTGGTGCGTCGCAAGGATATCCGTAAGTTCCTTGACGGTATCTACGTGTCCGAGAAGACCAACATTGAGATCGAGGAGGACTAAACTTCCTTGGCTTTCAGCTTTGCTACTGGGGTAAGAACCACTGCTAGGAGAGAGTTCGTAACCGGTACTGAATAGAACCGATCGTGCTCCTTTGCCGTCACTGGGTTGATCGCAGCGAGTTTTGCTGCTTTCTTCTGTCCGGGCGGATTTTGTGTTGCGCAATGCGAAGAGGTTGATGCAGTTACTTGCTGCATGAGCTACTGTATAGAGCGTGCAGCAAGATACGCTCCCTTTTGTCTGCGACTATCACGAAATCCTCCAATTTTTCTTTCCTTGTGATGATGATATTTGGCAATTACTACGTAGTACCAGCCAGTGGAGTTTGACCTTCAGTAGGGAGGACTCACGAAGTCGTGATGCTTCTTTTGGCATTTTTCGGTATCTTCAACTCTATTGTGCCTCCATTACATCGCTACCTTAAGCTACGTTCGCTGGGTGGCATATGATCGTTCAAAACAAGTCAAACGGGTTAGCTGGAGAAGCCGATGTCTGTGGGGGAGCTGGAGCGCTGGCGAAGTCGCCAAACCTGCGTTGCAACAATGAGATGGTCAGTACAGGACGAGCAATACCCATACGTTGAAGCAACGGCAGACACTCACGCGTTGGGATCAGCAAATCCGGAAGTATTCTGCGGAGGTTGCGTGAACGACGACGTCGCTCGAACTTGAGGTCTAAAGACACTCAAGAGTTAGTTTCTATGTCTACAAGTTGGATCGCTGAAGCAATAGTAGTATAACTTACTGTGCGTAAGAGAACGATCCCGATGTAGGGGCTGCAGGAGCATTTCCGAACGAGTTACTTGAGCCAGTCCTGTTAGGCGGTGCGAACGGTGCCGATCCGGTCGCTCCTCCTGATCCTGTGCGCGTCGCAGTGGTGTTAGAACTACCGAATCCGAGGTTGCCGAGGTTGAGCGAGGCAAAAGGGTCGTTAATCGAAGCTGTTGATACCGGGGTCTACAAACCAAAATGAGAAACAGTTAGGTAGGAACTCATCATCCACGTAGCACAATATGACGTACCTTTACTGGAATCGGCGCAGGGGGAGCACCCCCTACCGGACGAGAATGAAATTGCCCAGGGTACGGTTGCTGTTGTGCGGGGAATCCCTGCTGCTGGCCGGGCCAATGCTGTTGCTGGTTTTGTGGCGGTTGTCCGTGGTGGAATGGTTGCATTGGCTGCTGCTGCATTTGACCATGAAAGGCGTTCGGAGGCTGTTGATGTTGCGGAAAGCCCCCAGGAAAGCCACCGAATCCTTGATTGGACGCACTGTGAGCAGGCTGCTGCGGAGCTCCTGGAAATGCGGCGGTATTGTTGTTGGTCCCACTTGTAAACCCAAACGGATCGTTTATCACAGCTTGCTGTTGGTTTACGTTGGTGCCACTCGGAAAACCGAAGCCGGGTGTAGGAGCTCCACTGCTAGATACGGGTGTAGCGACACTGCTCGACTGCATACCATCAAACGCTGCAAATGGATTAGCGGCAGACGCAGCTGCAGGTTTCTCTGGTTGACTGGCAAAAGAATCCAGCACAGGATTGGCTGAGTTTGTTCTAGACGAGCTAGTAGAGCCCGAGAAATCCCCAAACGCGTCGAATACGTTGCTGCCTGAGGTAGATGCAGGCGATGGCACGGCAAAAGCGTACGGGTGCGCCGCGCTAGGAGAGCCAAACGCGTCAAACGGCGAAGCGTTCTGCTTGGCTGGCGCTGAAGGAGCTGCAGCTGTCATGTCACTGAAAGGGTCGAGAGAAGCTGCTGAGCTTGCACGGCTACCAGCTCGGCTGGTCGGTGTCGGGGCATCGAAGGCATTAAATGGAGATGAAGCTGCTGGAGCCGGATGACTCGGAGTTCCGGACGCCGGGGCTGGACGGTCGAAACCGAACAAGTCGTCGTCCGCTTTCTTCGGTGGACTGAGACCCATGAGATCATTCGAAGCGGGTGGCGAACTAACACTGGCAGCAGAGAAGTGCGTCCCGGGAGGTGGTGCAATCTTAAACGAATCAAACTTCGGAGCTGGCGGCCGTGGCACGGCCTTCGGTGCTGCCTTCTGCGCTGTACTGCTGGATCCTGAGAAGTCTCCAAAGTCTGCAAGTTCGCCATCCTTCTTCTTCGAAGGAGCTGGGGCATTGAAGTCGCTGAAATCCCCGAAAGAATGCGCTGCTGCTGCGGCGGTTCTACTGCTGCCCTCAAAGTTGGAAAAGTCTGCAAATCCACTGTCCGTTGTTGTTTTGGCTGATTTCGAGCTGGAAGAGAAGAAATCATCGTCGCTATCAGCCTTTTTCTCCTTCTTCTTGTTGCTTTTCTGCGAGGAGAACACGCTCGTAACGTAAGGAGCAGCACTACCCTGACACATCCAGAATTAAACTCACCGACGACGTTCGTTCCCGTTCTTCATCCTTGGAGTGACGCGGAGACTCAAACACCCACCTAAAGCGCCACAAAATGTCAGTCCACTCTTCAATTTTAAGATCCAGCCGAGAGCTAGCGCCCGCCATACTTGCGATCGATGTATGTCAAACGAATAAAGTTCCGTGTGCGCTCGCCATCAGTGCCTCCGTTCGGACGGAAACTCGGGTCGTGCTTGCTTCGCCAATATTTCTGCGCTGCCTCGTTGCCGCCGAGGTTGATCATGTTTTTTACCTCGCTCTCGGTGAACTTGGACATGGAAATGGACTTGACGCGGTGCGCGAACTCGCGGCTGCCGACAGCAGAAATGAGTGGAAGGCACGAATGAATTTAAGTTGCAGAGGCATGTGGACTCACTGGATGCCGCTACAAGCAGTACAGACGAACGTGTTGAAGTCCAGGCAGACGTACTGGGGCATCTACACATGATTTTCAGCATTAGCACGTGTCGTCAAGTTTCGCTCTAGCATCAGTGACTACCATCTCATTGCAGTCGAAGCATCGCTTGTTGGACGGATTGGAGCGCTGAAAGTCACGCAGCTCCTGGATCAGCCGCTCCTCCTGCTGCTTCTCGCTCGGCGAAGCCTTGGCCATCACTACGGAGGTGGCGAGGAAAGAGTACGCGATAAGCAGGGGGTCGGCACTGTAGTGAGTTCCAAAATGAGACGGTGTGTACCACATAGATGTAGTATTTTGTAAGTTCCATTCTGTAATTTTTTGGGTACAGCTACAGTACCTATTACCGGTATTTGGGTTTTATAAGGGGTTGATCAGCAACTTGCTAATAATACAGTATCATGCGCGCGCGCGGAATACACGGCACACCGTAGCGATATACAACTTGTATCAGCATCACTACATGTAGCTTCGCACGCACAATGCGCATGCCATGTTCCATGACGAGATGTGACTATCATCAGTCGTCTGCTAAATCGGTCTTCTGCATCTTGCGGCCTTTGAGCCGTCGCGACTCGCGACCCTCGGATCCAGCTACAATACACAAGTAGATCGCGTCAGCCATGAGCTCGTTCGAGGACGTAGAGCTCATCGCACAGTGGATCCGCGAGCGGATTACGCTGCCTGGGTACCAGCCCAAGGCGTGGACGTCCGCGGACCTGGCGACAGTCAAGGAGTTTGCAGAGGGCACAGGGGTCCCAGCGCTGTTTGTGACCATACAGAACGAGTTACTCGTGGTCATGACGACGGCCCCGCGATATTTCAGCAGCGTCATGTACTTTGTCAAGAATGGACAGACGCTCGTGACACCCGCCAACATCAAGGACGCGCTGCAGTACGGGACGGTCGAGAAGGACGCCATCTCGTCGCTGTTGCATCTCATGAACGGCTATTATCTGCAGAGACTGCAGGCCAACAAATCGTGGCCCGAGAGTGTGCAGAAAGAGTTCACAGGTCAGTTCTTCCGCTTCATGTCGAGTCTCACAGAGACCGTGAGTCGCGGCTGTGGCAAGACTGTGCTCTATCTGCCTCCAGTGAACTCGGACAAGTTCAACCACAAGGACAAAGATCTCGTGCAGCAGTTAGAGTCCACTGTGATCCACTGGACACGGCAGATTAAAGAAGTAATTAACAACCAGGACAACGCACACGACGCAGAAGGCGCAGGTCCGCTCGAGGAGATCAAGTTCTGGGAGCATCGGACGCAGGATCTTTCGGGTATTACCGACCAATTGAATCGCGACGGAGTCAAGGAGATCGTGGAGATTCTACGAGCTGCCAAGTCGTCGTACTTGCAGCCATTCGAGACGCTGTCGCAGATCATTAAACAAGGATCCACCGAGGCGAACGACAACCTTCGCTTCCTGCAGAAACTCAGTCCTGTGTGTGAAGACATCGCACGAGCAGAGCCCGATGAGATCCCGTTGCTATTACCGAAGCTGCTTAACTTCATCCGACTTATATGGATGTACTCGCGTCACTACAACACGGAGGACCGGATCACGAGCTTGCTACGTAAGGTGAGCAACGAGATTATTATCGTCTGCTGTAAGAAGATTTCGCTGCCAGACGTGTTCGATGGCAATGTTGAGGCCAGCATTCACCATCTCGAGCAGAGCATTCAGTGCGGGGTATCGTGGAAGCAGATCTACCGCAAAGCCTCTCATGCTGTTAATACTACGGCGCCATCTCCTGATCGTCGATGGAATTTTGACGAAACAGGTATTTTCGCGCAGATAGACGCGTTTGTGCAGCGCTGCAGAGAGTTGCTGGAAGTGTGTGAAGGTCAAATCCAGTTTGCGCGTAAGGGCAAAGATGGGAAGCGCGAAGATCTTCCTACATTTGGAGGCAATCGTGGCATGGACATTGTGAAGAGTTTACGGGGAATCGAGGCTCAGTTTGAAGGTCACGTCGATCGACTGCGTCAACTGGATTATGATATTCTTGATGTCAAGAACACCAGTTGGCACAGCGACTTCAATTCATTCAAGAATGGAATGAAAGATCTCGAGGCGATGACGCAGAACGTTATTAACGGAGCCTTCGAGAGCGTATCAACAGTCGCTGCTGGTGTCGACATGATTGGCTCTTTCCAAAAGATCGCTCAGCGAGAGGCGATAAAACGCTGCGTGGAGAAGCGTACGATCGACATTTTTGGCATGTTCAAGACGAATATCGCGTCCATTCGAAACCTGTTTGAGAAGAACAAGAACGCGCCGCTATTGTCGCCCACAGAGCCTCAATTTGCAGGTGCAGCGCTTTGGGCACGAAGCCTGCTGCTGCGTGCAACTGACGACCTTGTGCGTCTGCAAGAACTAGTCGACCCTTCCAATGCAGCGGAATGTGACGAATCACAGAACGCCTATGACGGCCTACGCTTGGTGATCAATGAGTACATCCAGCGCAAGTATCACGACTGGATTGAAGATTTGAACACATTGGGCAACTCGAATATTAATTCTCGACTGGAGAACCCGTTGATGACGAAGACGGGGGCGGATACTGACGCCGCGCCTGCTAGCGTGAACTTGAACTCCCACAACAAGGACTCCAACGCACTGCAAAATACGGAGAAGACGCTAATTGGACGGGCCAAGAAAGGGTTTCTTCACTGCAACTTCGACCGTCCGTTGCTCAACTTGTTCGCGGAGGTTCACTATTGGCAGTATTTCAATGGCGAAATCCAAATCCCGTACATGGCGCACGATATCTGCAACCAGAAAGAACAACTGCGAGTGCTGCGTGAACACGTGATGCTGGTAGTTCGCGACTACAATCGCATTTTGCTAGACCTATCGTCGACTGAGCGGCGACTGTTTGAAGATATCATTCGCAAGCTTGATCGCCGCATTCAACCAGGACTTCAAAAGCTCACGTGGGTGTCCAAAGGAATTGTCGAGTGGTATGTTGCAGACTGCCGCAAACACTGTGAAACGACGTACAAGATTGTTCAGGAATTCCAAGAGAACAAGGATATTGTGATGAAGAATTGCAAGATGATCAGCGGCTTGATGCACATCTTCATCGAGCGTAACACTATCTACGACGACGGCGTGTTCGAAGCGAAGCAGGTGATTCATCGAAAGACAATCGAAAAGCAGTTGCGAGAGGCATACCAGACGATTAGCTCTACGATGACTGCGACCTACGAACACTTTGCATCGGGACCTCCCGAAGTTCAGAGAGAGTGGAATCGATTTGTGGAGCGCTCGGATAAAATGCTGGAGGATGCGCTTCGTCAGTCTGTAAAGAAGTCTCTTCAAGAGCTCTCGAAAGCTATCAATGGTGATGCCAAGACTGACCCGCGGCCTCTCTTCCGGATCCACGTTGTTCTCGAAGACAACAAGGTGGAGTTCAAGCCGTTTATGGCTGACCTCACGCAAATGGTAAACACTGTGGCCAAGGAGATTTTCAACGTCATTTCTGTCGTTCCTCGTTTGGTGGCGTCACTCCCTCAACGCCACGGCAACAGCCAGGCCAATGCTGACAACCTGACCGCCAATGGGGCTCCTGCCGGCGGGAAAACTAATTCCAAGGGTGGAGAGGAGGTGCGTGCTCCTGTCACGGCAAGTGGAGAGCCTATCGGTAATCGGGATGAGGCACTTTCAGCTGTGGATCCACCGGAAAAGGTGGAAGCCCCGCCGGTTGTAAACAACTTCTATCAGTCCATTTTCAATGACGAGGAGATTCTCAAAGTACTCGTGCACATCATGAATGGCATGTCGTCTAGTGCAACCGAGTTGCAGAAGTACTTGGGCTACTGGGACAAGTACAAGCTCGTGTGGAACCAAGACAAGCAAGCGTTCATTCGTCGTTATGCGAAGGCAAACCGGCCGCTGCAGCAGTTCCGCGCAGATATTGAGCGTTATCGAGAACAACAAGTCAGTATTCAGAACGAAGATCTTACCAACACCATCAACTTCATCCAGATTGACACCAACTTTCTCAAGGCCAGTCTAGTGGAGCACACGGTGCAGTGGATCGGCAAGCTTACGGGTCTGCTGAACCAGACGGCACACAGCGAGTTGAAAGAGCTTATGAACATGATGAAGGACAACACCCAGAAACTCCAGATCAAGCCACTGAATTTGGATCATCTGAGTGAAAGTATCCATCTCCTACAAGACATCAAGGAAGGTATGCCTGGAGTCGTGGCTCGCTTCGAGCCTTTGCAACACAAGTATGATTTGCTGGCGGAATTCGACGTGCAGACTACAGACGAGGAGCAGCGTGACCTCGCCAACCTGAAATCCAACTGGGAAACGTACGAGGCGATGCTGGTGGACGCCAACACGATGCTGCAAAAGTGCAAAGTGAGCATGAAGCAAAGTCTGCAGGATTCTGTGGCCGATTTGAACAACATCATGTCAGAATTACGCACTGAAGCAGAGGCGACACTGCCGTATTCTGGCGAACAGCAGTCTAAAGCTGCTCATCAGATTCTTGCCGAATTCGAGAAGAAGATGGTGGCAACGCGCTCCCGCCAGAGCGCTCTGAAGAAAGGGCTTGAGATCTTCGGCATCGAAGAGTCCAAGAACGACGGATTTGTTCAAACCGAGAAGGAGCTGGAGCTACTCCAGCAGATCTGGGCTCTTACTGACGAGTGGGAAATTGTGTGGGCTTCGTGGAAGAACAAAGTGTTCTATGAGATCGAAGTGGGGACGATGGAGTCGACTGCTGCTCAGTTCTTCAAGAAGGTGGTCAAGTACGGAAAAGATATGAAGAACTGGGCTGTGTGGAGCTCGATGAAGACCAAGATTGAACAGTTCAGACAGACTCTACCCTTAATCCAAGACCTCAAGAGCCCAGCACTTCGAGCGCGTCATTGGGCGCAACTGAAGGAGGAGATGGGGAAGACGTTCGACACAGAATCTACGAGCTTCACACTAGAGCGCGTGTTCTCTCTTGGATTTCACTTGCATGCTGAGTTCATCAGCACATTGTCGAGTAATGCTGGCAAAGAGCTGTCGATTGAGCAAACGCTTGATGCTATCGAGAAGCGCTGGGCTACGATCGACGTCGACATCACTGAATACAAGAGCGTGTACTATAAAATCCGATCTGCAGACGATTTATTCACGGCTCTCGAGGATGATCAAGTGCAACTATCAACTATGAAGGCTTCGCCGTTCTTCGGGTCGTTCGATACGCGGATTTTGTATTGGGAGAAATCTCTTTCGCATTTATCCGACGTCATTGAGACGCTTCTTGGTGTGCAGCGCTGTTGGATTTATCTGGAGAGCATCTTCATGGCATCCGAGGATATCCGCAAGCAGTTGCCGTTGGAAAGTCAACTATTTGATGAGGTTAACAGTGCGTATTGCAAGGTAACAGAAGGGATGGCCAAGACAAAGAACGCGCTGCAAGCTACACAGGAAGCAGGAGTATTGGAAACGCTAGTGACAATGCAAGAGAAGCTGGACCAGATTCAAAAGTGTCTGGATCAATATTTGGAGACGAAGCGAATGCTCTTCCCGCGGTTCTACTTCCTCTCAAACGATGATCTGCTTGAGATTCTAGGCCACCAGAAGGACCCGGATCAAGTGCAGAAACACATTAAGAAGTGCTTTGAGGCCATCAAGACTTTGAACCTGATCCCACCTGGTGCACGTGGAAATACAACCTTCGAAGCTCTAGGAATGAACTCGCCGTGTGGAGAGCAAGTGATGTTTGCGTCGAACGTGGTGGTCGCTGGCGCAGTGGAAGGGTGGTTACTGCGGATTGAGGCTGCAATGATCAATACGTTGGAGAAGATTTTTGCGCAATGTATCGTTGGTTACAAGGGCAAGAAGGAGAAGTGGATTAAGGATTTTCCTGGCCAACTACTGATCACGTGTGGCCAAACCGCTTGGACAAATGAATGCATCAAGGCACTGAATGAGGTGGCGAAAGGAGAGAAGAAGGCCTTGAGACAACTCAAGAAGAAGTGGGTTTCTTATCTGAACAAGCTCGCAGACATGGTGCGTGGCCAGCTCTCAGCGACCGATCGTCGTAAAGTCGTAGCTGTTATCACAATTGAGATCCACTCGCGAGACGTTATCGATCGCCTGGTCAAGCAGAACTGCAAGAGTGTGAATGATTTCGACTGGCTGATGCAGCTACGCTTCTACTTTAACAAGGATTTAGGCGAATCGGGCATTTGCGAGGTCAAGCAGACGGTCACATCGTTGCAGTACTCGTACGAGTACCAGGGCAACAACGGACGTCTAGTGATCACTCCGCTGACAGACCGATGCGTTCTCACCATGACCACAGCGCTACATCTAAACAGAGGTGGCAACCCGCTGGGTCCTGCCGGAACGGGGAAAACAGAGACGGTGAAGGACTTGGGCAAGAACCTGGCGAAGTACGTGATTGTCTTTAACTGCAGTGATGGGTTGGACTACAAGTCGGTTGGTCGTATGTTTGCTGGTCTCGTCCAGTCTGGCGGCTGGGGGTGCTTCGATGAGTTCAACCGTATCGAGATCGAGGTGCTGTCTGTCGTGGCTCAGCAAGTCTTGACCATCATGCAGGCTCTCACAGCCAGGAGTACGCAGGTGATGTTCCTTGGCTCAATGATGCGGGTCAACTTTAACATGGGCATCTTCATCACGATGAACCCGGGTTATGCTGGACGTACTGAGCTCCCGGACAATCTCAAGGCTCTGATGCGACCATGCGCCATGATGGTGCCTGATCTAGCGCTGATTGCTGAAGTGATGCTCCAAGCTGAAGGATTCCGTGATGCTAAAGTTCTGGCGAAGAAGACGACGACGTTGTATGGACTGATGATCCAGCAATTGAGCAAGCAGGATCACTATGACTTTGGCCTACGTAGCTTGAAGGCTGTGCTGAACATGGCAGGCACTTTGAAGCGCGAGGATCCAAATCTGCAGGAGGAAAACATTTTATTGCGTGCGCTTCGTGACATGAACATGCCCAAGTTTATTCGGGAAGACGCATTGCTTTTCCGCTTGTTACTGGGAGATCTCTTCCCGTCCATTGAACTCCCTGTAACAGATTACGGCAAACTACAGGGTAACATCGAGCAGGCATTGCTAGAGACGAATCTACAAGTGCATCCGGTGATCGTGTTCAAGACGATCCAGCTGTACGAGTCTCAGGTGACTCGCCATTGTAACATGATCGTGGGTCAGACCATGGCAGGAAAAACGACGATCTGGAAAACTCTGATGGCCGCCAAGACATCGCTAGCGAAAGACGGCGTGTTTGGCTATATGCCTGTCCGCGTACAGGTGCTGAATCCCAAGTCTATTTCGTTGAACGAGATTTACGGCGTGTACGATCTCGCAACGTTTGAGTGGATCGACGGTATTTTGTCCGCAATCTTCCGAAACTTGGCAGCGGATGAGAAAGCGGAAGAGAAGTGGATTATGCTCGATGGACCAGTTGATACGCTGTGGATTGAGAGCATGAACAGTGTCATGGATGACAACAAAGTGCTTACGCTGATCAACGGCGATCGAATCAGTATGAGCCCGTCGATGGCTCTCATGTTTGAGGTCCAGGATCTAGCGGTGGCTTCCCCTGCTACTGTAAGTCGTGCCGGTATGGTGTACATGGATGTTGAAGACTTGGGTTGGCGTCCGTTTATCGAGACGTGGCTGGCGACGACCATTAATATTCAAGAAGAACGCGACGTGCTGCAAGTCTTGTTTGATAAGTATATGGAGAAGGTGTTGCGCTTTAAAACTTCCGAGGTGACAGAACTCATCCCAGTGACGACTTTCAACAGCGTAAAGTCGTTTTGTAACCTGTATAACGCACTCGCTACTGCTGATAATGGCGTGGATTTGGCTGCGTGTGGAGATAAATTCGCTGTCACAGTTGAGAAGTGGTTCCTGTTCTGCATGACGTGGAGTGTGATGGCCGCTGCAAACGAGGAAGGACGCAAGAAGTTCGACTTCTTCTTGCGTGATATTGACTCTGTGTATCCTCCTCTCAAAACTGCCTACGACTTCTTTGTGGAGCCGTCGAGTCGTGAATTTAAGCTTTGGGACGAGAAGCTGCCTCCGAACTTTCGCATCGCTCCAAACACACCGTTCCACAAGATCATGGTGCCCACGATCGACACGTTGCGGTATGGTTACTTGCTTCAGACTATGCTCACGGCTGGTATCCACACTCTGCTGGTCGGCGAGACTGGCGTGGGGAAGACAACTATCATTGAGCGAGAAATTGAGGCGCTCAGCGACGCATACAACGTGCTCGTGATGAACTTTTCGTCAGCTACGTCGTCTGCAACAACACAGGATATGATCGAGAACGTCATGGAGAAACGCTCGCTGAATCGGTTTGGCCCCGTGGGCGGCAGGAAGCTGGTTACATTTATCGACGACATGAACATGCCAACGAAGGACTTGTTTGGATCTCAGCCCCCACTGGAACTGCTGCGACAATGGGTCGACTACAGCTGCTGGTATGACCGCAAGAAACAGACACTCAAGTACTTTATCGACATGCAGTTCGTGACCGCGATGGGACCTCCAGGTGGTGGGCGATCGGTCATCAGCTCTCGCTTTCAAAGTCGATTCAATCTCATCAACATGACGATCCCTGAACAAGCTCAGCTGAAGCGTATATTCGAGACCATGCTCGTGCCCAAACTGGCCGAGTTCGATGACGAAATCAAGCCTCTAGGAGTTCCTCTGGTCGCCGCGACTATCCAACTGTATCAGAATGTGCTGGAGCAGTTTTTACCAACTCCAGCGAACTGCCACTACCTCTTCAACTTGCGCGATATGGCTCGAGTGATCCAAGGCCTTCTGCTCTCAGACAAGCACACAGTAGCAAGCCGGGACGGTATGCTGCGGCTGTGGATGCACGAAAGCCTCCGGGTGTTCTCTGACCGTCTTACTAGTAACGAAGATCGACAGTCTTTCAAGAGGAAGCTCGATGACTTGCTTGGCGTTCACTTCCAGACCGACTGGGGCCGATTGCTGTCTTCAGCGCCAGAACAACTCAAGGAAAATGGACCTCTGTTCACGTATATCTTCTCCACTACCCCAGGATCTGATGAAGGCAGCGCACGGTACGCGGAAGTTATGGACATGAAGATGCTGAAGAGTTTTGTGGAAGAACAGCTGGAGAACCACAACGCTGAGCCAGGGTTTGTGCCCATGAATCTCGTCATGTTCAGCGACGCACTCATGCACATTCTACGTATCCATCGCCAGCTAATGACGATGCATGGCAATCTCCTTCTTGTTGGTGTTGGAGGCAGCGGTCGACAGTCATTGACGAAGCTTGCCGCGTTTATGGGCGGCTTCAAGGTGTTCCAGATCGAAGTAGGCAAAAACTACCGCAGCTTCGAGCTCCATGAGGACATCAAGAAGTTGTACACTCAAGTGGGACTGCAGCAACAGAAGACGGTCTTCCTGTTCAGCGACACGCAAATCAAAAGCGAGTCGTTTGTCGAGGATCTCAACAATATCCTGAGTAGTGGTGAGATCCCTGGACTCTTCGAAAAGGACGAACAAGCCGGTATCTTGGATGGTGTTCGACTGCGAGCACGTGCTCAGGGAATACGAGAAACCAAGGAATCTCTCTGGAACTTCTTCATCAGCGAGGTGCGTCGCAATCTCCATGTTGTGCTAGCCTTCAGTCCCATCGGGAAAGGCTTCTGCAATCGCTGTCGTCAGTTCCCGTCCCTTGTGAACAACACCAACATCGACTGGCTCAATGAGTGGCCTCTGGATGCTCTCCAGGAGGTCGGAATGAAGTTTCTCGAAGAGAAGAACGTTGCTCTAGAAGCCCAGCGTCCCAAGATCGCCGCTGTGTTCGCTGTCGTACACAGCAGCGTGATGCTGGCATCTTCCCAAGTACTGGCTCGTATGAAGTGCCACAACTACGTGACACCTACCAACTACTTGTCGCTCGTCACGGGATATGTGGAGCTTCTATCCGAGAAGGCAGCAACGATCCGTGACACACGTGACAAGCTCAAGAACGGTCTGGCGAAGCTGGAAGAATCCCGACTGCAAGTGGAAGAGATGTCTAAACAACTCGAGCAACGTAAGATCGTGGTGGCTCAGAAGAATAAGGACTGCAGTGACTTGCTGGTGGTTATCGTATCCGAGCGTCGTGTGGCTGACGAGCAGCGGAAGCAGGTGGAAGCTGACAGCGAACGCATCGGCAAGGAGGAGACGGAAACCAAGAAGATCGCCGACGACGCTCAAAAAGACTTGGACGAGGCTCTTCCTGCACTACAACGCGCTATGCAAGAAGTGGAAAACCTGGACAAAAAGGCTATTGCAGAGGTGAAAGTGTACACGCAACCGCCCGAAGCGGTGTCCATGGTCATGTGTGCAGTGATGATCCTCTTCGGCTTGCCGCCCACGTGGGCTTCAGCCAAGACCAAGATGAACGATGTGAGCTTCCTGCAGCAGATCAAGACGTTCGACAAGGATTCAATCCGTGACAAGACGGTGACAGCTCTCAAGAAGTACACGTCCAAACCAACGTTTAATTCCGATGTGGTGAGGAAGGTGTCTTCAGCCGCTGGAGCGTTATGCTCATGGGTTCTAGCGATGGAATGCTACTCTGGCGTCTTCCGTGTCGTGGCGCCTAAGAAAGAGGTGCTGCGGAAATCACAACAAGCGCTTGCCATTAAGCAGAAGGATCTGCAACTTGCGAAGGAAAAGCTTCGGGAGGTCACGGAGAAAGTCGAGGCTTTGAAGAACCAGTACGATACCAGCGTGTCGGAGAAAAACGCACTACGTGAAGAGGCTGAGCTGCTGGAATTGAAGCTCTCCCGTGCTGAACAACTGGTCAAAGGACTTGCCGGAGAACGAGAACGCTGGGAAGCCTCCATTGCTGACAAGAACGCAAGTCTTCAGAACGTCGTGGGAGATGCACTTGTTGCCGCTGCTTTCATATCGTACGCTGGCCCTTTTGATACCTTCTACCGTGGTTCGCTCGTGGATACGTGGATGAACCGTGTGACTCAGCAAGCTCTTCCGCTGTCGCCGAAGTTCACGTTCATCGACTTCTTAGCAGACCCGACGGATGTGCGGAGCTGGAATGCTCACGGTCTACCGCGTGACCCGCTCTCTACTGAGAATGGCGTGATCACGACGAGAGGCAAGCGATGGCCACTAATGATTGATCCTCAATGTCAGGCTAACAAGTGGATCAAGGCGATGGAGGGGACGCGTCTTGAAGTTGTGGACCCCATGATGAAGGATCTGTTACGAAAATTGGAGAATGGAATTCGCTTCGGCTCCCCCGTGTTAATGCAGGACATTCTGGAGGAGCTAGACCCTAGTTTGGAGCCGGTACTCACCAAGAGTATTATCAAGGTCGGAAACCGCGAGGTACTTCGATTAGGAGACAAGGAGCTGGACTACAACCGAGAATTCCGCTTCTATCTCACGACGAAGCTGCAAAACCCTCACTACACTCCAGAAGTGTCCACGAAGACGACGATTGTGAACTTTGTCGTAAAGGAGCAGGGACTGGAGGCTCAGTTACTGGGTATTGCGGTTCAGCTCGAAGAACCAGCGCTGGAGGAGCAGAAATCGGATCTCGTCATGCGTGTGGCGGCAGCGAAAAAAAAACTCATCGACCTTGAGAACGAAATCTTGCGTCTTCTATCGGCTGCGAAGGGATCTCTACTAGACGATGAGCAGCTTGTGACGACGCTGAATGCGTCAAAGACAACATCCGAAGAGGTTTCTATGCAGCTGGTTATCAGCGAAGAGACGGAGAAGAAGATTGACGCGGCTCGAATGGGATATGCGCGAGTGGCTCTGCGCTCATCGACGCTTTATTTCGTGCTGAACGACATGACTAGCGTCGACCCCATGTACCAGTTCTCATTGGATGCGTACGTAGCACTCTTCCAGGACTCCATCATCAAGAGTCGAAGTCTCAAGAATCAAGGAGCGCTCAGCGAGGAGCTCACGGAGCGAATTAACGCCATCAACGACTACCACACGTACGCAGTGTATGCCTACGCTTGTCGTGGACTGTTCGAGCGCCACAAGCTCCTGTTCTCGTTGCAGATGTGTGCTCGTGTTCTCCAGAGCGTCAACAAACTCCCTCACGACGAGTACGACTTCTTACTTAAAGGTGGAAACGTTCTGGCCCAAGAAGAAAAGGTGCCTAATGTCGCGAATGAGTTCCTGTCTGATGGCTCGTGGGCGAGTATTGTGGAGCTAAACAAGTTGTCCGCTTTCCACGGCATCATCAGCTCTTTCGAGCAGACGCTGAAAGGATGGAAGGCATGGTATCAGAGCAGCACGCCGGAAATCGAGGCGCTTCCTGGAGACTGGGAGGGCAAGTGCAACGAGTTACAGAGAATGTTACTGCTGCGTTGCGTCCGTCCTGATCGTCTCAGTATCCAGGCTGCTCGGTTCACGGCTACACATCTCGGAGCTCAGTTCGTGGACCCACCTCCGTTCGACCTCAAGGCGATCTACGACACGTCCAACTACAAGACGCCACTCATCTTCGTGCTGTCTCCTGGCGTGGACCCAACCAACTCGCTCATTGCGTTAGCTGAATCTCTGCATAAGACGGTGGAGAACTGCGCTCTTGGACAAGGTCAGGCCAGTGTAGCTGAGGCCATGCTGGCACGCGGATTTGACGCCGGCAACTGGGTCTTCCTCGCGAATTGCCACTTGATGCTCAGCTGGGCGCCGACGTTAGAGAAGCTGATTGACAACTTCTGTGCTGCCGCCCCAACGCCTGCTGGTCCCATTAACCCGCAGTTCCGGTTGTGGCTTACAAGCAGTCCGAACCCGAAATTCCCCATCGCGATCTTGCAGCGTGGCATCAAGATGACGACAGAACCACCGCGTGGCCTGAAGGCCAACTTGATACGCTTGTACAACACCATCTCACCTGAGAAGTTCACACGATGTCGACAGGTGAAGAAGTACAAGCGACTGCTGTTCTGCTTGTGCTGGTTCCACTCGCTGCTGCTCGAGCGTCGGAAATTCAACAATCTGGGCTGGAATATCCCGTACGACTTCAACGAGTCCGACTTTGCGATCAGCGAGGACGTGCTGGCCATTTATCTGGATGAATACGAAGATACGCCGTGGGATGCACTCAAGTATCTTATCGCCCAAGCGAATTACGGTGGCCGCGTGACAGACGACTGGGACCGTCGACTGATGCTCGTGTATATCTCGCAGTTCTTCTCGGAGACCGCGCTCACGGTGGACAACATGCCGCTGTCTGACTCGGAGTATTATTTCGTTCCAGATGATGGCGACTTATCCTCACACACAGAGTACATTCGACAGCTGCCACTGGATGATCCTCCTGCTGCCTTTGGGCAGCATCCCAACGCCCAGATCGCGTCTCAGATCGATGATGGACGAGAACTGTTGGCTACAATTCTCTCAATACAAGCACTAGACGTTGCTGAAGGAGGCAGTGGCAACGACGACACCGTGTTGGGACTCTTACAGACACTGAGAGAGACTGTACCGGATGTGTTCGATCTTGTCAACATCAAGGCAGGTCTTAGTGCGCGGAGTGATCCAGATGCGCTTAAGACTGTTCTGATGCAGGAACTGGAGCGATACAACAAGCTGCTGGCAACTATCAACTCGTCAGCGCGTGCATTGGAGAAAGGAATTCAAGGATCTGTCGTTATCACTCCAGAACTCGAAGCTGTGTACAATGCGGTGCTGATCGGCGCTGTGCCCAAAGCCTGGAGCTTCTGTTACCCGTCACTCAAGCCGTTGGGTCCTTGGACTAAAGACTTGAAACTCCGCTGTGAACAAATGGATCGATGGGCCAACCAAGCGCAGCCTGCTGTCTTCTGGCTCACAGGCTTCACTTACCCGACTGGATTCCTCACGGCACTTCTACAGACTGCAGCTCGTAAGAACGGGCTGGCGATCGACTCGTTAAACTGGGAATTCATCGTTTTGAACCAAGGCGAGAATGCGCTACCCACAGGCCCCAAAGATGGTGCTTATATCAAAGGACTGATACTGGAAGGTGCGCGTTGGGACTTTGATCACGATTGCCTTACCGAACCTCACCCGATGGAGTTGCATTGTGGGATGCCAATCCTACACTTCCGTCCCGTGGAAGCCAAGAAGAAGTCTGCCAAGGGCTTGTACAGCTGTCCGTTATATATGTACCCACTGCGTACAGGAACACGCGAGCGTCCGTCGTTCATGATTGCTGTGGATCTCAAGGTGGGACCTGGCAAGACTCCTGATCTCTGGACGAAGCGTGGCACAGCACTATTGCTCTCACTCAGCACACAAGACAAGGTATGAACTATGATGAGGAGGTAATGCTGTAAACACGAACGTCTTTTCTTTCCATGTCTAGATCGTGAGCCATTCGTGTCCTCCGCCGTCTTCTTGCTCCCCTGCACGCGTAGATCGCATCGTCGACTCGATTTCATTGGCGTCTTTGCGATACTTCCGTGATCGTCGATCATTGGCCCCTAACAAACTCTCTGCGATGTACGTAGCAGACCTTAGCAGCTTCGTAGCAGCGCGCAGTTTATCCTGGATCTCGCTTTGGGGTTCTAGTCGCCCCTCTCTCGACGTTGCTATTCGATGCAGCATTCTTGCCAGTTCCGCGGCACTTTGACACGCCTCGATCGAGAATTCGCCGTATCCATTGACACTAACGTTGAGCATTTCCTCGAGCACAAGTCGCTGGTCGTCCAATGAAGTCGTGCGCCCACTTCGACTAAGTGTGATCCATTGACGGAAGGCATCCAACGCCAGGGCAGTACACTCCCGTTTGGTACTTTCACAGCCTGCGAACTCAGAGGAAAAGGTCGCGAAGAATCGACCTACAAGTTCATACTCGGAGCAAGCTTTATCGAGCTTCAGTTGATCTTGTTGGTACAATTTGGCCAGTTCGAGACGGAGAAACGCTGAAGCGGGGACAGTTCCGCTGCACGCGTTCTCGTAGATGTCGATAGCTGCAATGAAGCAGTGCTGCGCTTCACGAGCCGCTTCTTTCGCTTCGTCAGCACTCGCTCGATCCTCATTGATACTTCGAAGAAGATGGACCTGCGCAAGACTCACGTGTACCGCTGCAGTGGTGACGTGGTCCCGACCAAAGTGACGTTCCTGAAGTTCCCATGCCCTGTTGCAGCTTTCCAGCGCTTCATCCATCAGCGAACGAGCCGAAACTTCACAGTCACCCCCCATACGATTCGCACTGAGTGTTGACGGTGGGGGAGAGAGCGTAAGCTCTCGGATCAACACCGTTCTTGCACGAGCCTCCGCTTCTTTTCTCGACAATAAAGGATGTCCAGTGCCACTCGCAAGCTCGACCTCTTCTAGTGCTCGAGAGCGCAGATGCCGTGAGCCTTCGGTCGACTGAAGCCACGTTTCGGCACGATCGCGACGTGCTTGTTGTCCGAGAACGCGGAGTTGTCGTCCACGTCTCGCTTGCGCTTCAGCGGCTACGAGATAGAATTGCACCAGATCGCTGCAGTCAGCGTCGAGTTTCTCTCGTGCAATTACTGCCGCTTCGACATATCGCACGGCTTCTTCGAGCTGCCCTCGTCGAAGATACACGCGACTTAAGAGCAGTTTGACTCGTCCTAGAAGCGCTGGTGGACTGTCGTCGAATTTCGAGTCATCGTCGTTTAGAGGAAGTTGAAGATTGCTGTGCGCTCCGAGCGTTAGGATCTCTGTCCATGTGAGCGAGTGGTAGCACACTCGATTGAGTACACGTTGTAGCGTAGCACAGAGACCTCGGATATACGACACAGCAGAGGATTTCCGGTTACTCAAGTCCGTATTTGCTGTCTGCAGACGATCGAGAAACGTGTGGAATGGCACGATACCGTCTTCTGCTGTGTCGAGAGATACGAATAAAGCAATCAGCATCTGCGCTACACCAGGAGGCAATCGTGCAGACACAAACGTGAGATGTTGATGCATTTCCTCGCTGATCTCTTCGAGTCGCAGCAGCAGCTTCTGCCAATGAAGAGTTTGATTCGACGCAAACGCCTTCTCCAACATATCGCGTTCGAAAACGGCAGCTAGAAGTTGATTGCGACTACCAGCGTCTCCGTGTTTGCTCAATAGCGTCTGTAAGTCGTCAGCAGATACGCGACCTCGAGCTGTTTCGTCACATTGAGCTTCGTAGCAGAACTCCAGAGCTAGTCGTAGCAAGTTTCCCCTTTCTTTCTGTCTTCCAGTTGCTCCTTTCTCCTTTTGTGACGAGATCTCGATTTCGCGGAGAAGACTAGCAGTACACGAAGCATGCAGCTCGGCCTGCTTCCAGAGATTCATTCTAGCGTAAGTCTCGCCCAATTCAAGTTCAGCATGAGCTTTACTAATACTATGTTGTCCGTGGATCAACTTTACCAGTGCCAAAACTCGCATTCGACCACATAATAATTGTTCGGACAATGTCCGTCCTTGTTCGTCGTAGAACTGATCGATGAATGGGTCGGACGAAGTATCTTCGTCGTCGTCACCTAGATCTTTGAGCTCCTCATTCCCTCTGCTATTTTGTAGCTTCGTCGCGGTTTTTGGCTTCATAGCGAAAGGTTTTGCAAAGGACCCAACGCGACTGTGGCCTGAAGTCTCTAGAACTTTCAGCTCTTGATCGATATCTGCGCATTCTTGAAGTGCGTCTTGTAGTCGTCGAGCTGGCGGCTTGTACCATGAACACGGATCCTCTTGTAGAACTGCAGGAGGGATTCTTTGTGGAGACAAGAAGGGGACGTCGTTGCACGGAATCGTCGAAGTTAAGGCCAGTGACATGCGACCAGCACGAAGGCTGGTTGTACTCGCTGCCATCGTGACTCGAAAGTGCAGCAAATATAGCAGAAACCTGTTACTACAGTAGTTTCTTAATTACTTTTGGTGACCATTTCTAGAATTGTTACTTTTGATTTCCACTTGGGTTTGATTCTACAATTTATATCATCGAATCTTACATTCTTCTACCTAACCAACTAACTAACGTTGAGCTTTGAAGTGAGCATTAACTTTCCACCTTGATCCGATCGGGGGATCCAAAGTAACAGAGATCCACCTCCTGTGCCTGGAATTCCCAAGAATCCATCGCGCCATCGATCCAAGTACAGCGTCTTGCCTCCTAGCACCGTTGTATTGGAGACCCAAGTCACATTGGTGCCCGCTTTAACTTTAACCTTGTCGATCTGATTACCACCCGACATGACGTTCACCTTCACATCTTCTGTGTCTTCGCTATGAAAGACGACAGTGACGGAGCCATCGCCCTTTTTGGTCCAAGTTCCAGCACTGTTATTAAAGGCTTTGCCCACTGTTCGCAGACCCAGCGCATCAGACGCAGAGCCATCGTCCACTTCACCAATAAACTCCGTAGGACCGCAGATACTTTGAAAGAATTCCGAAACTGCGGTAGCGACATTGGACGGATCCCAAACTGCTGCGAGCATCAGAACCTTGTTGCTGATAGTGTAAGAGTATTCTTCTGCAGAGAGATATGTGCCGTTATCGCTCGTTCCGGAACTAATAAGGTCGTCAACAATGCCCCCGAAGGTCTTGCGTAAAGTGTCACGCGTGGTGTATGCTGTGGCCTCGTCGGATTCCTCAATGAATTGCTTCATACAATTATTCGTAGCGAGAGGGATCTCGTGGTGCATGAGGTTTGACTTGCTTAAGATCACTCGGATCTCGTCTTCAGAGACCCTTGGGTTCTGTTTGCGTAGATACGCCACGGTCATCCACACTCGATCCGTAAGGTGCTTCATGTCGTCTCCACAAGTCGAATCGGAGGCCAACGCTGACTGCAGTGAAGTAATGGTCGTTTCGTCAAGACTGTCGAAAGCGTCATCCAGAGAAATGTTCTTCATGAAACTCGTAAATATATGCCAACCGGAGGTGATGGCTTCTCGGTGAGTCACAACCTCTTTCACGAACAGCTCGATAGTATTCGTAACGCGATCCGTAAACTTGAGTTCCGCCGAGACTTTCAACCCGAGACACGACATGATAGTGATCGGTAAGTCGAAGACCACATTATCGGTCTGGTAAAGTATTGTCGTCAGTTCTTCTGTCGTGGTCTGCGGGTCGCTAACGAGAACCGTTCGCGCGTACTTCGATAGGGCCTTGACCAAGTTGGCAATCTCCTTACCGCATCGGAACGCAGTCTGGACTCCTTTTGCCATTTTTGAGAATGCTTCATATGCCCCGAAAGTGGCAACCGAAAGCGCTGCCTGAGCTACTGAAGAGAACTTGGACAGCATTTCAAGCGTGCAGTCATCGTTTTGTCGAATGCATTGCATTCCGCACTCGACGGGATATTCTAGAGGACACTCGGCCCAACACGTGCCGAGCTTGTACTCGAAACCGAGAGGACACACCTTTGCAATATGGGTTTCTCGATAACACGCCGTGTCCACCCCAGCACCGTGTGCTGAGCCAACCCAGTTAGTGAAAATGGACTGCAAGGTGCTGATGTTGGCCGACACGCTCATGTCCATCAGACCCCACGCAAGAGATTCAGATAAGTCGTCTTCGCCTACGTCTACCTCGTCACTTTCGTCGTCATCTTCGTTTTCATCTTCGGATTCGTCATCGTCGCTGTCGAGAGAATCCGTATCAGTTTCGAGGTTCCGCGAAACAACTGCAGGCACTGGAGTCGACGTTGCTGTGATCTCGCTCTCCAGTGTTTGAGCCGATGCAGCAGCGACGGCTATGGATAGTAGCACCGCAACCGAAAGTAACTTAATCATCTCGTTGAAAATTGATCGAGTGACTAGCACAGCGAAAATTGATTAGTGGGTTTCCGGTGTCACGACATACTCGCCGAGGAATGCCGTGCCGCTCGTTGCCATGCATGCTGAATCTCTGTCGAATCTGGCAAAGCCAAATGGAGAGTAAATCATCGCGATCTGAAAGAGGATTTTTCATAAGACAGGGACTATGTGCACATTATTTTGAAAATAATGTGCACACTGTGCAAGTTCATGCACAGTATCTACACAGTCTCGAGATATAAACACTGCAACGATGGGAAAGTCTTATTTGTAATAGCCATATGCAGATCAGTTTTGTGAGCAGAACAACGCCGACTTGAAGCGAAAAAGTGGGTGAAAAGAGAGTGAATGTCTTCCTTTCGAGAGCACGCGTTTTTTCGCTAAGTTCAAGAAGAAACACAATTCGAGCCAAATCTTGGAGTCATATCAAAGAGTTATATATTATATGAATGCTACCAGAGCTCTACCCTGACTATCCTGAGGCATCACTAGTTGCACCTCCAGCAGCAGCAGAATCATGAATCGCGAGGAGATTGTGGCAGAGGTATCTGTAACAAAAGAACTGCATTGCTGGTCTGGTGTTTCCTTCGACACCGTGTGGCCGTTCGTCACCAAGACGTGCCTCCAAAAACAGAAGAATGTAAACGCCGCAGTTGTAGTTGTCGAGTTGGGGAATCCATTCAAACGCTTCAAACCGGAAGCGCTTAGGAGAGGGTAAAGCTGGCAGCCGCGACAGGATCTCCTCCTTTAAGTACACCTTCAATTGATTGACGCGATCAGCCGTTTCTTGAGGATCATAGATAATCGCTTGACCTGTCCGGACATTAACCAAAACAGCACACCAGTGGTTTTGGCCGAAAACAATTGTAGAGAAGAAGTACAGACTCTTTGTTGGTGTCGTTGTCTCCCTCAAAGCAGCCTCCACTTTCCCCCACACATCATTGTTCTTGATCGACTCCACATCATATACCGGAAATCTAACCACGTAGGCTGGTAGTGCAAACACTTGTGCCGTAGCTTCATTCCGTACTGATATAGTCCTTATTGTACGATAAATACAATCACATTCCAACCACTTCCTACCACATAGCGTTGTCAGCGCAGCGTCTTCACTAAGCATACCCACGTCTTTGAGTCGCTTTTTCACCGCTTCCTTAACAAGAAGATCTTTTGTCCAGACCGAACTATCTGGCTTCCATGCATCTAAGTCAAGTGAATCGATCCATTTAATGGCTTCATCCACACCATCCATTTTGTTCAATGCGGTGTGCCAACAACGCATCGACTTTAGCGTCGAAACGTTATACACCGTTCGCCCCACAGAAACAGAGACACCATACTCATGAATTTGCTTTTCATTATCGCTAAACCAACGATTCTGAAACAGCGCGACCTGTGTAATACACGTATCTAGCACTCTTAGCGGCAGCACCGTCATTATGCGCTCCTCTGCTGTTGGGGGCTTGTTTCTCTTCTCCCACACGGTAACCTTGGGCTTCTTCGTCTGCAAAATAGTCAACGCACGTAGGCTAGCAGCGTATTTGCTGTATGGAGCCTTAACCGCAACCGCTTTAAGAAGAAGAGCTACAGAAGGGGTTTCACCGTTAGCAATAGCATTCACACGTTGAGTAGTTCCTCGCATTGCTTCGCGGTTTTCCTTTCTTCTGGCAGCTTGTGTAATCTTCGGGCGCCCTGACTTTCTTACAGTTGTCGAAATTCTCCACAGTGGCATGGTTGAAGCACGCGTCTCCTCCTCTGATTCCTCGCTTTCCTCCTCGCGTTCATTTAACACCTCGTTGCCTTCACGGCGCTCAAAATGAGTCTGCCCAGTCTGACTCTCGTGCACATTTACTGATGGGATTACAGTCTGAGACTGGACACCATTCTGGGAAATAGTGGAAAAGGTGTCTTGAGCGAGCTGAGTTGGATGCAAGTGGTCCGCATCGACGCCTTCCATGAAGGATAGAAGAGCGGCGCCAGTCGGTGATAGTTGCATGTCATGATTGTCGTCAACGCTGATCCCCTCAAAGCTCAGTTCATCAGTGTTAATGGCGCGATCAATCTCAGATTGGTTTCCAGTCTCAGACTGTGCATCATTATTAGCATGTGTACCACGCTCAGGATGTAAGACAGTACTGGCTTGTGAGTCACTGTCGGGCTCTGGTAAATTGGTGATGTACTTCGGGGATGTTCCGATTCGGGCTGTCGAAGTAACGGACAATTGCCAGCCTTCACCGCTTCTAAGACCTGGACCATGGAAGCCGTCAAGGTAGCGTGAGCTGTGGTACCCCACTGACAACCAATTTCAGCAATTTGCTTTCCGATGACTTGCAGCTCTCTAAACGTCTCGTTCTGGCTCTTGGTACGAGTTGTTGAGGGGGTCTTGATGTCGCGAATCTCGAAAGCTTCCTCAACGTCCTCAACAAGTGTCACTTTGCTCTTCAGTTTACGGTAGTTCTTGAGTAACCATCGAGGGTGAATAATACTCTTTGGCAACAAGCGATCGCAGTCGGTTTCTTTCCGATAATAGATGATGTGGCGGCATGGTAACAAATGCGTCATTCGAAAGATGCACGAGCATGTCCACGCTTCAGTACTAATCATGTACTCTTCCAGAATGTCATTGGTTTTGTTTTCATCGTCATACTGCATCATAATGTATGGCCCCACTGGATAGTACTGGTACTTGGTAGAATCGCAAACTCGTACTGCTGCTTGACTAATTCAACTGCATGTCGGGATACCAAATTCAACAGCATATTTAGTTCCTCATCATAGTCCGAGCTCACAGCGATACCAATGCGATTAATGCTCCGCGCCCATGAGCGCTCGTTGACGGTCTGCCAAAATAAAATAGCAACCACTCATTCATCTAGAGTAGTAGAGCGATTAACTAGCGATTTCAGCTTCTGCCAACTTGATTCTAGCCTAATCAAACGAAAAAAATTAACATACGAGTGAGTGATTAATTTGTAGTAACATCAGCTCACGGCTCACCTGTTATTGGTTTGGCTCCCCAAGTGCGGGATGTTGCCGCGATATATCGAGCTCCACCGTTCCTTACAGGTTGTCCAGTTGTCGTCAAAATACGAAAACCACAACTGCTGCTTCTCTTCCAAACGTAACAGCATCTTCATGGCTGCCAACACCTTATCGAAACCAGCCTCCGTTGGAGCGCTCACTAGTAGTTGTATCAGTCTTTTCATTTCATTCTTCGTCCACGACCCAAAGTTGAACCTCTCCTTAGCAACCTCCTCTTGTAGATACTGTACCACATGAAAGTGGCAGAGCAAAACTCGCGCTTTTGGAAACTGTTCTTTTAGTACTGCGAGCTCTGTGAAATCTTTATCAATGATAATGACGGCGACAGAATCAAAAGAGGGGCAGCCTTCTTTAAACTGCTCACACGCAGTGCGCAAGGTTTCTTTCCCCTCGTTTTCAACGAGACAATGCTGTACAGTCACAGAAACGTACACAGTTTCAAACTGGTTACAAATTGTTGCACAAACTAGAATTTGCACCGAACACCAACCTGTACAGGTTGACCCTTGTCAAGAGCGTCGTGAATCATAAAGCTAAATAGCTTGTAGTTTGAGCTATTCGTGTCATGCGTTGCATCGATCAATAGGACTTCTGGAAAGCTCTCGAACATAGTCCGCATATGACTCGACCGGAGTGAAATACACTCCACAACTCCCTAGTAATACATCACAACAATGTTAGTAAGTTATGCCATGATTGACTAATAAAACCCAACATCTACCGCTTGGTTCGTGTACACCCGTGCCAAATTTCCCTTTTCGGACGTAAAGTCCTCAAGGATGCTATTTATGCGTTCTTCCATGGTCGGAAATCGTAGCTTTCCCGCTTGAGCCTAGCCAGAAGGTTGTGTACGTCCTTCATCTCTGGCTGCACCGAAGAATTCTCGACGATGTATTCAAGGATACGTTTCCGGTTAGCTTCTCCACGATGAAGCACGCGCACGCCATCCACGACTTCGTCGTCTGAAACTTGTCTCACTTCGTGGTATGTCTGGTAAGCGACTGGATCAACGTCGTGATTGTGGGTCGTTACTTGTTTGGTGATACAGACTGCCCAGTCACCAGACAGACGAACACAAGCATTAATCTGCAGTATACAAATAATAGCAAGTATTGTGAAAGTGAGCTCTTCATGCAGCATGTCTAGATAATTAAACCTGAGCTTTGCATCCAATGCGCCTTAAATATTGGTTAGGACGCCCGCCGCGACGACTTCTCCCCGTCCTCGGTGACCCCGAATGCGTACACACGTACGTTTTATTGTAGAACTTCAGTTCGGCAGGATTTCATCACAATACGAGTTGAATTCTTTGATTTTGGCGTTGCGTGTACTTGCAGGAGCTGCAAATCGCACAGAATATACCTGCATGCACAAAATGATATGTAAAACAAAATAAGAAAATTTGCACAGTTTGAAGTTGGAAAGAAGTCTAAAACGGGTGCCCAACCTGGTAGGTGCGCTTGCTGTAGGCCTTGATATAAGCTTCCAGTAACTCCCAAGTGTCAAACGATCGCCTATCGAGCGGGGGGACCGAAACCAACTCATCACGTGCTGTTACTCCTCCGCCATCTTCGTCGGAATCTCTCCCGCTGCTTGAGTTGTTGTCCTCGTACGCGTCCTCATCGACTGGATCGACATCCGCTTGACTCCGAGTTGCATCGCGACGTTGGCTGGGC